GTATCTCAATAAATTAAAAAAAAAGACTGAGCCCTGGCCAGTTTGGCTCAGCGGTTAGAGCGTCGGCCTGCGGTCCTGAGAGACCCGGGTTCGGTTCCCGCTAAGGGCGCGTACCTCGGTTACAGTTTGTCCCCGGCCCTGGTTGGTCGTGCGGGTGGCAGCCACTCGGTGTGTCCCTTTCACATCGATGTTTCTCTCTCTCTCTGTTCCTCTCTCTCCCTCCCACTCTACCTGATCAAAAAATGGAAAAATGTCCTCGGGTGAGGATAAAGAAAAAAAAAAAAAGACTGAGGTTATACAGGTTTACTTTTAATCACAATAGAATGAATAGAAATCAACAACAAAGATAACGGGAAAATACTCAAATATTTGAAAATTACATAATATACTTCTAAATAACAAACAGAGCAAAGAAAGAACCACAAAGTAAATTAGAAAACATTTTGAGTTGAATAATATTGAAAATACAACACACCAACATTTATGAGATACAGCTAACGTACGTGTAGAGGGAAATCTCTAGCTTTAAATTATTATAAAAAAGAGAAAGATCTAAAGTCAATGATCTAAGCTTCCCCTTTATTAGATAGAAAAGGGAGAGCAAATGAGACCTGGAGCAAAGGAGGAGAAATCAATGAAATCGGAGACAAATAGAGAAAATCAATGAAACCCAAAGCTGGCTCTTTCAAAAAAGAAATCAATGAAATGTATAAATCTCTTGCTAGACTGATAAACTCAGAAAGGGAGAAGCTATAAATTACTAATATTTTGGATGAAAGTAAGGATTTCACTATAATCCTATGAACATAAAAAGGATCCCAAGAACATATTTCAAACTACATCATGCCAACAAATTCTTAGATGAAATGGAAACCACCCCGTAAAATGAATCCCCAAATAAGTACAAAACCTGAATATACTTATCTATTAAGGAAATTAAACTCATAATTTAAGACCTTCCCACAAAGAAACTCCAAGCACAGATGGATTTACTGTGGATTCTACCAAGCGCTGAAGGTAGAAACAAGGCCAACCAATTCTCCCAGGAAAAACACGGAGGCCCTAGAAAACTTCTCGACTCATTTTCTGAGGCCAGATGAACATATTTTAAGAAAACTATGGACCAATATCCCTCATAAACTTCACAAAATATTTGCAAATTGAACCCAGAACAATACTCACACACACCCCCCCCCCCCCCCCATGGCCAAATGAAGTTTGTACTAGGAATGCAAGATTAGTTTACTGATTTAGAATCAATCAGTGAAATTCACTATTAACAGGCTGGAGAAATACAACATGATCCTCTCAGTAGAGGCAGACAAAGTATTTGACAAAATTGAACACAGATGTATTATTAAAACTCTCAACAAATTAGAAATAAAAAAAATAAAATAAACCTCTCAACCTGATAAAGGACATCTAAAGAAAATTACAGCTAATGCCATAATTAATGATAAAAGACTCCATACATTCCCTTTACAATTGAGACCAAAACAAGAATCTCCACTCTCACACCTTCTAGTCTTCGATCGTACTAGACACCCTAGCTAGTATAATAAGGCAAGAAAAAGAAATAAAAGGCATACAGATTTAAAAGCAAGAAGCAATTTTCTATATGCAGAGGTAGAAAATCATAAGAAATGTACAAAAAAAGTACTGGACCGAGGCAGTGATAGTTTAGATAGGTCAATATACAACAGAGATTATATTTCTATAAACGAAAAATTATTGGAAATCAAAATTTTAAAAAATCCATTGACAACAGCATTACAAACATGAAATGCTTAGTAATCAATTTATCAATTGATTTATACATTGATGAACTTTACCTTGACAACTATGACACATTATTGAGAGACATTAAAATAAACCTAAATGAGAGATACACCATATGTATGAATCAGAAGACTGCATATTAAGACAATAATTCTTCCCAGATATTTCTATATTTTGAATACAATTTTTATCAAAATCCCAGCAGAATGTTTTGTTTTTGTTTTTGGTAGGAATGGACATACTGATTCTAAAATGTATTTGAAAATTAAAGGAACCTGGAATAAGCAACACGTTATTGAAAAAGCAGAGAAATCCTTGGACTTGCATTTCCTGAGTTCAAGACTTACTGTAATTCTACAGCGATCAATACAGCACAGCTTTAAAGGAGAGACATGCACATTAATGCAACAGGACAGCAAGTCCTGGAAAAGATACACGTCAACTGGTTTTTTTTTTTATCTTCACTCGAGGACATTTTTTCCATTTTTTTGTTCAGATAGAGTGATAGGGAGAAAGAGGAAGAGAGAGAGAGAAACATCGACGTGAAAAGGACACATTGAGTGGCTGCCACCCGAACAACCAACCAGGGCCGGGGACAAACTGCAACCGAGGTACATGCTCTTAGTGGGAATCAAACCTGGGTCTCTCTGGACTGCAGGCTGACGCTCTAACCGCTGAACCAAACTGGCCAGGGCATGTCAAATGATTTTTGACAAAGTTATCATGATAATTCAATGGGGAAAAGGAGTATCTTTTTTTTCTTTCTTTCTTTATTGATTTTAGAGAGAGGGAGAGAGAGACAAACATCGATGAGAAAGAACATCGTTTGGCCACCTCCTGCAGGCCCCCCACTGGGGATCGGGTCCACAACCTGGGCACGTGCCCTGACTGGGAATTGAACTGGTGACCTCTTGGTGCAGGGTCAATGCTCAACCACTGAGCCACACCGGCCAGGCAAAAATTGTCTTTTCAACAAACGTCTGGAACAAATGGGTATTTGTGTAAAGAAAATGAACCCCAATTCCTTTCTCCGCTGCTTGAAGTGAACTAGACGTAGGGGCTCGCTTCTGAAGAACAGAGGAAGGGAAGGGGAAGAGGATTCATCTGGATAGAGGGACGCCAGGTATTCTTCTCCCAAACCCACACTCCCAGGCTCATCACAAGGAGAGCATCAGACAAAGCCAGATCTGGGGGCACTCTGCAGACTCTTCGAGAAGCCTCGGTCCTGGCCAACAGGAAAGGCGGAGAAATGAGTGCAGAGAAGCCTGGGGGGGAATAACGATTAAATGCCGGGTGGGAAGGTGGGCGGTCTGGAACAGAAGAAGCACATCAGGAGAAAACTGCTGGAATCCAAATGAAGTACAGGGTTTAGTTAATAATAATGTAAAAAATGTTCATTATGAAGTCAAGGGATTAAAAAGCTTTTCGTGTTAAAAGGTATTTTTTTGCAGTAGAAAAAGTTGGAATTCATTTTTATTCTAACATTTACTATTAAGAGAATTGAACAGTTTTCATGAAGAGCTACCCAAGCATAAAAGTGATTTACAGCAACCAGTGCCCACGTATAAACACTGTCACCTTAAAGAAACTGAGGCAGACACAGGGCCCCACATGCACCATCTAGCTTCAAAATTCTATTCTGTAGCCATCGATCTTACAAACCTTAAAACAACGTTAACATTACATTTTGAAAGGGAAAATAAACCTCAACCCCTCCCTCATACCATACACAAAAATCAACTTGGAAGGGGTCACAGACCTAAATGCAAGAGCCCAAACTATAAAACCACTAAAAGAAAACACAGGAGAAAACTTTGTAATGACGGGATAAACTGAGATTCCTTAGGTAGGAGACAAAAGAGCATACACCATAAAAGAACAAGATGGGTCAACTGGGCCTAAATCCAAATGAAAAATGTTTGGCCATTAGGAAGCACTAATAAGGTCATGAACAGGCAAGTCGCAGTCTGGGAGAAAAGATTTACAATGTGTATCTGACAAAGGGTGCACATCCAAACGCATCAGAACACTCCCAGCTCCGTGGTAGGAAGGAAGTTCTGCCGCCGGCACTAGATCAGAAAGGGTCTGATGTTTCACACAAGAATAATTATGAAAGACCAGGAAACACTTTGAAGACTCTCACCGTCAGTAATCACTAGGGAGACACGCATGAAAACCCAATGCGCGGCCACTGCACGCCCGTTAGAATGAGAAACATGAGAAAGATCGCCACCACCAAGTGTTGGTGACAAGGTGGCGGCCCCGGAACCCTCACACCCTGTGTGGGTGGGAATGCAAAACGGTGCTGCCGCTTCGAAAACACTGATGTGCAATTTAAAAAAATAAAGTGAAACGTGGACTAACCGTATGACCCAGAAATTCCATTCAATCCCCTAGAAACGAAAATATACATCCCCACGTATATGCACACAGCAGCCCTATTCAAAAAGCGCCAAACCAGAGGCAGCCTCAAGGTCTGTCAGCAGGGGACCGGATAAACCGGCTGTGGCCCTTCTCACCATGGAACACGATCACCAATAAAAAGGACTGAACTACTCATGCGCTCAGCACTCGGGTGAGTCTCAAAAACATTTGTTCGAGTCAAGAAGAGCACATATATTACGTAGTTGCTTGTATCTGATCCTGTTGAAAAGACAGATCTCATCTATGGTTACAGATGAGCTCAGGAGAGCAAGGGGTTACCGGGAGGGGCACAAGAGAACTTTTTCAGGTGATGTACATGTTCTGTGTCTTGGTTTTGGTGGTAGCTACAGGGGTATATAAATTTTCCAAAGCTCATCAAAATACACACTGCAATAGGAATATTTCATTATGCATAAAGCACACAGAAGTAAGAGCGATGAAATGTCTAAGAGGAAATGGGATTTTAATGAAATAGCTCCACGGACAGACTGAGACATCCTGAGGCCTGAGGTTGAAAAGGGCCCACCTTTGTGGCTCACAGTCTAAATGGGCAGGGCAGCGACTGACCTCAGGACGGCAAGAGTGGACTGTCACCCGTGTCTGCTAAGTCCTTGGGGGGAGGGAGGGCCCCTGAGGAGTTGTCATGGGCAGAACAGAAGGCTGTTGTATATGGCTTTAGATCCTGGAATCAAGTGGGGCTTTAGATGCTAATGCATAACTAATACACATTCGTCACACGGGGAGCCTGGAGCGTGCTTCTTTTTCTTTTAACTTTTAAAATGAGAGCAGAGCCTTACCGGAGACTTGCTTGATGGCCACAGGTCTCACTTTGTATGGAGTGCTGCAAGAGAGAAGACAGGCACTGTGAGATGCTGTCCGCCGGCCGCGGCGCAGCTGGCCCCGGAGATAAGCGCTCAGGTGCATTATAATTCACGGGATTCATTTTTTTTTTTTAAATTAGTTCCTTTGGCTGTTCTGATCTTCCTCATTCAGAAGAATTCTAAATAGTTTAAGTATATGATTTGAATGATGAACTTCCCTATAATGTTCCTATGTGATCAATAAAACCGATTTTGTCATCAAGACCACTGTTGTCGCTTGGGTGTAGAATCCAGCTGGGGGAAGAGCCAGAACTGCCCAGGTCCGCCCCGATGCCTGACCGCAGGCAGGCTCTCTCTCCTTTGCTCGGTTTGAGCTCCTGGTGGCTGCGTCTCCCAAGTGCGCAAGAGAGGGTGGTGTCAGTGACGCAGTTGAAAATACACTGGCACCGCGGTGATGCCACCCCAGGAGTCATGAGACCCAGACAGAATCAGGAGAGAACACTGGTGAGACTTAGGATGGATGAAAGCTCAGTCACCGATGGGCAGGGACCTCTGGCAAAGGAACAGGCAAGGACAGGAATGGAAAGTAGGCAAAGAACAGGAACGGGCGCTAGCTGATAGCAGCGGAAAAGAAAGCAAGCTCGCAAGCTCAGGAGAGATGCGACAAGGAAACGGCACTCGCAAGTGTCCCTGGTTTGCCGTGGACGGCCACGCCCTCGGGAAAGCAAACCAGTGACACCAATCAGAATTTAAAGACACGGTCCTTTGCAGGCCTAGAGCAAATGCAGTCTGGAACATGCTGGAGGCAAAATGACAAAGCCGAAGCTGTCCTATTTCGGGCCCATGGCGAGAAGGCAGGTTCTTCGGAAAAGACCAGACTGCTGGGAAAACAGACGGCAGCAGGGAAAGAGGGAGACCAAGGACGAGACGGACTGACCCTGTGAAAGAAGCCACAGGCTGAGTCCACAGGAGCTGGGCAGGGCTGCGGAGGGCAGGACCGGTGGCCGTCACTCATTCACAGGGCGGCCACGAGTCAAGCCGACTCCTCGGCGTGTAACGACAATCCTTGTCTCAGGGGGAGCAATGATGCACAGGACCTGGGGACACCTGCAGATGTCATCTGTTCACGGCACTCATTTGGTCATTCCCTCCGTCAGTGAGTTTTTGTCCGAGGGCTCACGGTAGCAGGTCCCGGAGGTGGCACGGTGAACAAGACAGCAATGCTCCTGCCCTCCCGGGGCTGCCCCCCACGTCCAAGTACACATGGGAAGGACACGTCTTACCACCGTGTGAACGGCTGGCACTAGAAATACCGCGACAAGGCGGGCTCACCCAGGTGTGGCGGGGAGGAGGAGAGAGCCAGAGCCTCGTGTCCCAGCAACTTCCCTGTCAGGCGCTGATGACAGACACCCCGTGGAGCCCGACTGTCCCTGTAACGCCCACCGGCTGCTCAAGTGCACAGAGGTGAACCTCTCACGGGTGAACCGGGAACAGGAACCCCAAATCGGTACCGGAAGCAGAAGTGAGTGTGGGACCGAATGTGCCAAGATCTTGAGCCGAAGATGCCCGGGGTTGAGTTCTGGCCCCTGATCCTTAACCTGACCCAGCAGTGGGGCTGTTCTCCGAACCAGGCAAGCGGCTGCCACGGCTGGTCAACGCTTGGCTCGGCCCAAGTCGAGCTGCCTCGCCTCCTCTTCCTCAACGACAAGCCGGTGCAAACCGCTCTCGGGACGCACTTGCCTTGACTTTTATTGCGTTTGTCTTTTCTGAAGACGCCACCGCGTGGACGCCCTCCTGTCAAACACGCCGAGAGGGAGGAGCCCCGCCAGGCCCAGGGGCCTGTGTCCTAGGCTGAGCCCCTCTGTCCACCAGAAGGCGACGCACGTGACAACTTGGCTGAAATGGAAACCAAAGGGGCGCTGTGCGGTGACACCGGGCTGTCGCCGGTCTCCTCCCTCTCCACTGGCTCTGCCACACGCCCCGTTTTCTCACGCCCTGTGAGCATCTGTTTCTCTCCTCCCACGAGGACCGGGAAGCAGCTGTGGCCGAAGCGGAGAGGTGGCGTCGTCAAGAGGCAACACCTTTGTCAGCTGGATGCGGAGGGATCCAGAATGGTCCCCTGTCCGGAAAGGAGCGGGACCAGGCGGCTCAAGGTCCCTCCGAACGTTATCTGAACAACGTTGGGATGTGTCTGTTCCTACTTGTGGGTGATTAGGGATCAGGGTTGCTTGGTAATCAATAACCTTTCTAACCAGCGACGTGAGAGCGGAAGCTACTCGGCCCACTGAAAAATAGAGCTCCTGACTAGTGTCGTTATGTTGCAGGTTATTTAAGATGCAGGTCTGGCCTGGCCGGGGCGACTCACTGGTTGAGCGCTGACCCCTGCACCAAGAGGTCGCCGGTTCAATTCTCGATCAGGACACATGCCCAGGTTGTAGGCCTGATCCCCAGTGGGGGGCATGCAGGAGGCGGCCAATCAATGTTCTGTCTTATCAATGTTTCTCTCTCTCTCCCTCTCTTTCCTCTCTCTCTCAAATCAATAAAGAAAAAAAAGAAAACACACTCATACACACACAGAAAAAAGACCCATGCAGGTCTGGACATTCTCTGACCAGACGGAAGAACCAGGACGAGAGAAGGGAAGGGAGCCGTCGGTGGGTCCCCCAAAGGGAACAGCAGGAATTCCGCGCAGAGGAGGGAAGCAGTCAGGTGGCTGAGGAGGGGCAGTGGGGTGAGGGTGGGCACTCAGCGACCACGTACGTGGACACCACTGTTTAAGGAGAATTTGGGCCATTCTGATAGAAGAGTTTGGACATCCTGTGGCGAGCAGGCCCGTGGAGAACGCCGGGCATCGTGCATAAAAGCCGCGTTGAGGCCAATTTTTCTGGAAGGCGGACGGGACTCGACGGAGGGGTAACTGGAGGCATAAAGCAGGAGTCTGTGCGTGGGGAACCCGGACAGGAGAGAGGACGGTCTGACCCAGGGTCGGCTGAGGCAACTAAGGAAGGCGTCAGAGCAGAGAGCATTTTAAAGACAGACCCAGAAGGCCATGACATTGGCTTTGAAATGAGCCAAAGCGTTTAGGCAGAAGAGACGGGGTAACTGGGACCCCCACGTCTGATCAGTCAAGAGCCCTAGGAATCTGGGGACAAGACCACGAACAGCCCGTCCCGTGAATGGGAAACTCGGAAGAATCCGAGCATGGTGGCCGGTGGGCACTGGAAGGCCAGTCCTTCCCCACTGGTGGGTCCTAAGTCTGAGGTGGGGGACAAGGAGGTGACAAGGCCAAGCCGAATGTGTCTCCAGGAATGGTGGAAGCTAGTGGGACACGCCTGACTCACTGTGTCACCAACCTGGCTGTCATTGCTAAGAAGGGACCGAATGAATCCAGTGCTTTTCCAAGAACGAAGGTGCTGTGTCTGGTGGACGCGACTCTGGTCGCTGGCGGGCGGAGCGCCACCCTGGGGTCAAGCGTGGTTTCTCACTGGTCCTCACCTGGACTGCATGGGGACCTTTAAAAATCCCTCAAAGGTTCCCATTTAACTGCTCCTAGCAGGGGTCATTTTGAAGGTCCCTGGTGGTTTCCACCTGTCGCCAGGGCCGAACGTCACTGGTTTAGCGGGGCGAGTGTAAGCTGTGTGTTTCGAATGGGCAGGACGCCCCACCAGCTGGAGATGGGGAACAGGAGAGGAATGGAGGGAACAGGGACGCCATGCTGGGGCCGCTCACACGCAACTCAGGGAGAGGCGACGGGCTGAGGACACCCCACTCTGAGCGCACCGCCTGTTACCGGTGAGAGTGTGAAGTACACAGAGAAGGGAGGAGTCCCCACGTGGGAAAGGAGAATCCTCAGTGGAGGTGCAGGTCCCCAAATTAGAAAGGTCACAGCTCAAATGCAGGGAGAAGGCAAGGGGCTGGGGGGGGGGGCAGTGTTCAGAACAGGAACACTGCCCGGTCCTGCCCACCATCCTCACTGTCACCAGGGAACCTGCGGAAATGCCGATTCTGGGCCCAGACCTGAGGATCAGAGCCTGATGGGGGGGGGGGGGGCTGGGGAGGGGTGCTCTCCTGCAGTAAGCTCCCCATCCTGTGATGCTGACCACCTGCCCGGCAGGGTCTGGTGACGTCTGAGGGGACAAGTGGTGGAGAGAGACCTCACGAACCAGGGTTTCTCACTCTCTGACCACTGACACTGGGGAGGGACGTTTCTGTGGTGGGGCCGTCCTGTGTGTGAGGGACATGCAGCTGCACCCTGACCTCTGCCCACTGGAGCCAGTGGACCCCCTTCCCCCGGCAGCGACGGCCATACTCTCTCCAGATGTCCCCGATGTCCCCCGCACGGAAGAAGTGCTGCCACAGAATGAAGGACCAAACCAGACGTAATGAGTGACAACGTCTGAACAGACACGGTTTAAGTGAACTCAGGAAAAACGCAGGTCCGCTCCGTCAGAGGCAGGGCACTGGTTTGAGTGACGGGATCGTTCTTGTCTTGCGGACAAGTCAGGAGGACAGGTCACTTGTCGACTTTCCTTCTGAAGCGAGCTCTGGCGGGACTTGTGCTGAGATTTACGAGAATTTCACTGGAGTCTTTAGGGAGCCAATTAGCACTGTTCCTTCTGGGGAGCCCGGAGCCCACAATCAGGGGGCAAAAGCTCCTGATGGGTGAAAGTCAGGGAGACTAGTAGGCACAGCGGGAGGGGAGTCCCGGCTGAGGCATCCAGGTGCACGGGAAGGCCAGTGCCAACCACGGTCCCCAGGGCTTTGTGCTGCCCGAGCCTTGGCTGCCCTCAGAAGGATCGTGCCCTCGCCTGGGTCTGGGGATCCTGCACCCAGCCTAGCATGGGGGGCTGGCAGGCCGGCTTCTGGGGGCAGGAAGAAGAGCAGGTGTCCGTTCCTGGGCGCTCAGGTGTGCACATACCTGCGGTGGGTGAACCTGCAGGGGAGGTCCCGGGGCACCCGCCACGGGGGCCCGAATATTTCCAAGCTGTCACTGGGCCACTGAGAGCCCTGCAGTTGCTGGGTATGCGAGCGTCTGGCTGGTGCAAACTTTTTCCTGTGGGCTCAGGACAGCTGGCGCGGCTCAGTCAATGGGACACCTCGATGACCAGAGTAACACATGTTCCTTGGAGGGGGTGTTCAGTGAGGACCAGGAGACACAGACTGGGGTCCCCAGGGGCACCCCCACACTTGACCATACTCCTGTTACCCACAGAGAATGTACTTTAAGACGAAGTGGGGGCCACCGGGGACTCTGCAGGCTGCAGGGCGAGGGGTCGATCGGGGATGGGGGGTCCCTGCTCAGAGCCCTCGTCCTTCCCTCCTCTGGCCGCACACAGCCGGGCTTCACCGAGTGCACCTCTACTCACACATGAGCTCGCTGCGGACCCCTCTCCCCGTCGCTTCCCTCTGCCCCCAGGCATCTCCCCTCCCTGGGCAGATGGAGTCCTGCGGGTAGCACTCATCACCCCCAGGATTCGTCCTAGTGGGGAAGCACCGGCTGCCCCCAGGGACGTCAGGGGATGTCTTGCTTCTCTTCTTGAGGTGGATGGGGCTGGGGTAGGGAGGCTAACCTGGCCCCACTCCTGTTCACGCAGTCCTGTGCCTCAGTTTGCCCTCCTGGGAAGGGTACTGACACCAGCGTGCACTCAGGCTCCTGCTGGGAACTGAACCTGGAGCCCTGGGAAGGCTCCTGGCACGTTTCCAACTTCTACCATCTTGTCAAGAACCAGCCGAAGGAAGCCTCCGTCACCGCTCCCCCCCTCTGGTTTAAATTCAAGTGTCAACAGCAGCAACGTATGAAAACAACACAGAGACCCTCCTGCGGGCGTGGAGTGGCAGCCACCGTGAAGACAGGGTTGGCGAAGCCGCCAGCCGCTTACCGTTCGGAATTTGTGGGCATGGTGGGGTCGATGGAGACCATGGCGTCGTCTGTGGTCAGCAGGGAGATGGTCGTGTTCCTGGAAGACACGCCACGTCCAGCGACGTGAGAGGACACAGCGACTGGCTGCCTCCCGCACAGGCCCTGACCAGGGCTGGGGTCGAACCTGCAACCCAGGGACCCCAGCTCCTTCGAGGGACAAGGCTCCAACCACTGCGCACACTGGCCAGGGCAGAAAAGGACAACTCTTGAGGGTCCTTTCTGCTTATTCCACCCAGTGGTTTCCTCTGTGCAGACACGGGGCGCCTGTGGGCACCCGTGGGCAGGCTGCGGTCGGAACCTCCAGGGTTTCATTACTGATCTGAGAGTTCCTGCCGCAGGTGGGCCCAGTGCCTTCCACCCCTCCCACGCCGCCTGCTCGGCGGCCCGCCCTCCCCGTGCCTTCCCGCAGGGTGACCTGAAACACGCGGGGGCAGAGGAGCCCTCCGGCAGGACCAGGCTGGACCACTCACCGAGGCAGGCCGGTGGCGATGCAGAAGAGATCCATGATGTCGCTGGAGTTGCAGTACTTGCTGAAGATCACCTGCAGGACAGAGCAACAGGCTTGAGGAGCGGCAGGAGCAGGCGACTGGTCTCCACGCTGACCGCAGAGCCCTGATCCCCCTCGCCCGCCCAACCCACAGGTTTATTTTAAAAAGAAAAAAAATGTAACCTTGGGACTTCCAGTCAAAATAGGGGCATAGGTACATGTGGTACTTGCCTCCCCCCACAACCACATCGAAATTACAACTGAACAACAGGACAATCATCGTTGAGAACCGCCTGAAATCAAGCTGAATGCAAGTCCTACGACTATGGAATTAAAGAAGCCACATCCAGACTGGTAGGAGGGTGGAGGTGCGGAGGGGCTGGTCCCACACCCACGTGTGGTGGATAAAGATCAGGAGGATACTTCGGCTGGGAAGGTCCTCCCTGAGGAATGAGGGGTCCCTGTCCCACATCAGGCCCCCCAGCTCAGGGTTCCAGTGCCAGTAAGAGAATCCCCATCACTTCTGGCTGTAAAAACCAGCAGGGATCAAGGCTGAGGGAGCCTGAGGCTGCTGGAGCCCCAGTTCAGGGGAGGCAGCTTGAAAGTCACAGAGACATAGGGGAGAACTGCACTGTTTGGCAGTGGGGTGCGGGCAGCTTCCTCCTGGACAGACATGCTGGCGGAGGCCACTGTTCCTTTGATGAGCCCTTCCCCTAGGGGCCAGGCAGACAGGTGCCATTGCTGGGCCTCCAGCCACCTGGCTCACACTGTTTGCCCCGCCCTGGTGATTCCCTGCGGCCCCGCCCCACGCAACTTTTGGGCCAACCCAAGCCATTTTCAGTGACTTTTCCATACACCGGGTCCATCTGGGTTCATGCTTTGGATATTCCTAAAATCTTTCAACTAACAGCAGAGAGCCATGTACCTCTCTCTAAGTGGCCCAGGCCTGGCACTAGAAGCAGCCAGCCTCGGTTTACAGCTTGGCTTCACCTGGGTACCTCCAAGCCCAGTACAAGAAGCAGCCATCTGCAGATCACTTTGTAGCTTATGCCGGGTGGCCCTGGGTAGAACTCAGGCAGTGGCTGACCTTGGCCTGCACCTCCTGGGAGGCCCCAGAGCCAGCACACCCAGTGAACAACTTCGGACCACATCAAAGCACCACTAACCCACCACCTCCACAAATGACCCACTCAGTGGGTGGACTCAGTGGGTACCAGAGCCCGGTTGAAGTAAGTCTTGCTCTGTGTGGTGGCCCCTGCACAGCTGATCCTCCAAAGCAGTCAGAAGTCGGTGGTCAGTGGGCACAGCCAGTCCTTGCAGCTGAGCAGCCTGAGTAAAACCCTCCTACTGACATGCCAACAGCAATCGAGATTCAATTGCAACAGAGTCCCATGGGGCATGCACCTCAAGGGCCCAGCTGGGGGTGATCAGGGAGGCTGTGCCACTGGACCACAAAGGACACCTACTTATAATAGGTCACCCTACCAACTCTAGTAGATGTAGCAACTCTACCTAATACATAGAAACAAGCACAGGGAGGCAGCCAACATGAGGAGACAAAGAAACATGTCCCAAATGAAAAAACAGAACGAAACTCCAGGAAAAGCAACCTAACAGATGCAGAGTTCAAACACTGGTTATAAGATGCTCAAGAAACTTAGTGAGGACCTCAAGAGCATAATAAAGGACCAGTCAGAAATAAAGAATGCACTAACTGAAATAAATAATAATTTATGGAGTATTAACAGTAGAGTAGGTGAAGCTAAGAATTAAACCATCGATTTGGAAGCAAAAAACACCCAGTCAGAAGAGCAAAAAGAAAAAAGAAAAAAAAAAAGAGAGAGAGAGAGAAAAGTCCAGCCTGCGTGGCTCAATGGATTGAGTGTCATCCATGGACTGAGAGGTCCTGGTCCGATTCCTGGTCAGGGCACATGCTCAGGTTGTGGGCTCGACCCCCAGTGGGGGACATGCAGGAGGCAGCTGATTGTTTCTCTCTCACATCGATGTTTCTGTCTCTTTCTCTTCCATTCTCTCTAAATCAATAAAAACATATTTAAAAAAATGAGGATAGTGTAAGGAGCCTCTGGGACAACTTCAAGCATATCAACATTCCCAACGTGGGGGTGCCAAAAGGACGAGAGAGAGAGAGAGCAAGAAATTCAAAACCTATTTGAAAAGATGACAGAAAACTTCCCTAACTTGGTGAAGGAAACAGACATACAAGTCCAGGAAGCACAGAGAGTCCCAAACAAGATGAACCCAAAGAGGTCCACACCAAGACACATCATCATCAAAATGCAAAAGGTAAAGGACAAAGAGAGAATCTTAAAAGCAGGAAGAGAAAAGCAGTTAGTTATCCACAAGGGAGCTTGTTATCCATAAGACTGTCAGCCGATTTCTCAAAAGAAACTTTGCAGGCCAGAAGGGAGTGGCAAGAGATATGCAAAGTGATGAAAAGCAATGACCTACTACCAAGATTACACTACCCAGTAAAGCTATCATTTAGAATTGATGGACATATAAAGAGTTTCTCAGATAAGGAAAAACTGAAAGAACTCATCACCACCAAACCAGTATTATAGGAAATGTTGAAGGGTCTTCTTAAAGAAAAAGTAGATAAAAAATGTGAACAATAAAATGGCAATAAATACATATCTATCAATGATTGATTCTACAAACAAAATGAACAAGCAAAACAGAAATAGACTTACAGATACAGATAACTTTTTGTTGGTTGCTAGATGGGAGGAGGTTTGGGAAATGAGTGAAAAAGATGAAGGGATTAACAAGTACACATTAGGCCCTGGCTGGTTTGGCTCAGCGGTTAGAGCATCGGCCCATGGACTAGAGAGACCCGTGTTCGGTTCCCGCTAAGGGCACGTACCTCGGTTGTAGTTTGTCCCCGGCCCCGGTTGGGGTCATGTGGGTGGCTACCAGTTGATGTGTCTCTCTCACATCAATGTTTTTCTCTCTTCCTCCCTCTGTCCCTCCCGCTCTATCTGAAGATAAACGCAAAAGTGTCCTCGGGTGAGGATTTAACAAGAAAAGAAGTACAAATCAGTTGTTAGACTGATGAACTTTAGAGGGGAGGGGGGTGCAGGCAGAGATAAACAAAGGAACTTATATGCATATATGCATAACTAATGGACACAGATAATAGTGTGGGGAAGGAAGAAGGGGGTGAATGGGGGGAAAAGGGAGGGCATCTGTATACTTTCAACAACAAAGATAAATGAAAAACAACAACCCTGTAACCTTGGGCACTGGAATGTTGCACATAATACACGTCATTGAGTGCACTTAGAGAGGTTGTGACAAACTTCATGCCTTTGCCACTGAAAAGGGTTGTATACAACAAAGCTACCACCCCCGGAAACACCCCCACAGGTGACATTGCTGCCACACGCCCATTATCGGTGGTGTTTGACTCACTGGAGTCAACCTTGGCTTAACGATGTCTCATCAGAGGGATTTCCCCATGACCTCATGAGGGCCATTAGATAAAAAAAAAAAATTGTAAGGTCTTTAACCTTTTTTTTTTTTTTTTTTATCCTCACCCGAGGACATTTTTCCATTTTTTTGTACAGATAGAGTGGAAGGGAGAGAGAGGAAGAGAGAGAGAAACATCGACGTGAAAGGGACACATCGAGTGGCTGCCACCCGCACGACCGACCAGGGCCGGGGACAAACTGCAACTGAGGTACGTGCCCTTAGCAGGAACCGAACCCGGGTCTCTCCAGACCGCAGTCCGACACCCTAACCGCTGAGCCAAACCGGCCAGGGCTAAGGTCTTTAACTTTTAAAAATTGCTTTTTAGGGTTTGGGGGCTGAGGTTATATGACTAAATTGAAGAGGAAATCACAGTGAGAAGGGATGTGACGTGAACCATGGCCCCCAGGGCACATCTTCGGGGTGCCTCCCACCAGACAGGGAGAGTGCACGGGCATCAGCACCTTTGGTGCGAGGGACCCCTCGTCCCTCCCTGAGGGACTCCAAGTACACTGACGGAGGTGTTCTCCACGGCAGACAGTGCATGTGACAGTCCACACCGGAGCCCCATTTTCATCACAACAGATGTTTTCCTTCAGCATTTCCCTGACCTGGGCCTGTTTGCTCACCAGCAGGAGCCTGGGCTGGGGACCGCAGAAAGGCTGAGCCGGGTGGTGATTTGTCAGTGCCCAGGGCACCACTTCTAGCTAAGATCAGTTTGCGTTTTCCTTTATTGGAAACAGTTAAATACAATGAGTAGATCTTTCCCCCATAAACTCAACCTTTGTATGACTAACAGCACTTCCTGTGTGCTGATGGCCTACAACACTGGGACAAAGTCTCTGTTAGTGATGGTGACATTGGTCTGCACGGTTCACCCTGCAGCCACTGTCCTGGCTCAGCCCTGGACCCTTGCAGCAACCAACCCCTGCACTGGTCCATGCCTCTGGTCTCGCTCAGCCTCGGTTTCTAGAACTCAGATCTGTTGAGCCACAGGGCCACCTCCTCGCCTGAGCACGTGAGGTTCTGGGGTTTGTCCTTCTAGCCGGAGTCCTTGCCAAGTTCCTATCCTCGGCCTTCAGTCCAGGACGAGTCCGCCCCTGGCTCCCACTCCTGCTACTGCTCTAGTCCCTCCCCCGCCCCTTTCCTTGTTCCCCCCTGTTCCTGGCCATCAGGACTCAGTGGCGGCGTCTCAAAGCCTCCGAACCCACTGCCAGAGGTCTTGCCTTTGACCGTGTGTCAGGCCCACGTTTTCATGACAGCACGTCCGTGGCTCAGGCCTGGCCTCCCTGGCTGTGCCGTGCGGGGTGCGGCGTGGGAGGGCTGGGTCTGGGGTCCTGCCCACTCAGCCACTGCCAAGGGAATGTTTCTGACTTCCCCATCTTGAACCTTTGTCACGTTCACGTCCATTGCTGGGCTGAGGCCCTGCACTCCGGCGAGGCAGGTGGTGCTGGCTCAGCCCAGGAGAAGCAGCACCTTGTGTAGTTCTTCAAGGCTCATATGCAAAGACACTACACGTCTAGCAGGAGTCCTGTCCTAGCCCCTCGGAGTTCGTGGGGTGGGGG